GGAGCCTGCACATGTGGTGACTGGCTGCATTACAAGAGAGGGCCGCTGAGCATGGAGAACCTGCCACTTTATAGCAGTCATTAGGCCTGCTCCTTGTCCTCAAGGGAGCCACTGCCTCACCTCATCCCTCGAGGTGCTCTCACCGCAAATCCAATTCTGAGAATGGCCCAGGTAAGCAGCTGTCAGGGTTGTGAGTTCTTGACACACCCATCAAGACACAACTGCTTGTAGAAGCAGGAAATCTCCTTAGAGGATCGTTTGTCGAAACAGTGCACCTCTCTTGGCGTCTAGTGAATTTTCACAGAATATGCCATTCTGTCAGCTGTTCTGATTAACCGGACTGAAAGTTGCTCAGTCTTGTCCGACTCTTTGCAACCCCATGGACTGTAGCCTGCCAGGGTCCTCTGTCCTTGGGAATGCTCCAGGCCAGAATACTGGAGTGGGGAGCAGTTCCCTTTTACAGGGGATTTTTCCCAACCCAGGGATCGAACCCAAGTCTCCTGCATTGCAAGCAGATTCTTTGCCATCTGAGCCACCAGGGAAGCCCAACTGGACTGAGGCTGGGGCTAAATTCCGTTTGTCTCATAAGGCACTTAATTACCGTCAGCAGGGCCCCAAGCAGCAGTGACTCCTGTTATGTGGCCAACCTGCCATCCAGAGTCCCAGCCTCATCCAGCTGTGCTCGAGCAGGGCACCGCCAGCCAGGTCGTAATCAAAGGCTAGTCTCTCGTCCATTAGGAACCACACGAGGGAGTTCTGACCTGCTGATCTTTAGTGTCACTGCCAATAATTACAAGGCCCCAGAGCGGCCCTCATGCCCCACGGAGAGGCATTGTGACTCATTCTTTCCCGCAGGCAAACACACGCAGGACTGGGCACAGAGCACTCCAGTTCACCACGGGTTTGGTTAAGTCACATGGGCAGTGCCGTGAGAAGCTGCAGCCTCAACTACCATACATGGCAGAGCCCAGGGCTGCTTGGGCGTCAGAAGTGTGTACTTTTGTTATCAGCCAGCTTAGAACAGGGCCGAGCAGGTTCATGTTTGTAAACGTCTATGGGTGGGACCCACATTCAGGCGGTGACGGGATCAGGCATAGAACATTTCAGGACTGGCTGAGTCTCTGGGTCACACTGCCGGCGGCAGGGCTCAGGTGGACCAGGTGATGAGTTGGCAGGCTGAGGTGCAGGGTCTAGAGAAGAGAGGGCTGATGGCACCCCTCCTGCCCCCCAGCCCCACTTCCTGGGGTCTAAGGTGTTCCCTCACCAGGGGTTCCCAGGTGGCTCAGATGGTAAAGAATCCGCCTGTCAACACAAGAGACTCAGGTTTGATCCCTGGGTTGGGAAGATCCCCTGGACAAGGAAATGGCAATCCACTCCAGCATTCTTGCCTGGAGAATCCCATGGGCAGAGGAGCCTGGCTAGCTGTAGTCCATGGAGTCGCAAAGAATCGGACATGACTGAAGCAACTTAGCCTGCACACCAGGTGCCAGGTTGTACTTCCTTCAAAGACAAAGAATCAGCGTGACTCCTGTCCCACTGGGTATAGCTTTACCTCTCCTGTCATCCCCTACTCACACCCAGATCTTTGTTTGGAAAGGTCAGATGTGAATGGAACAAATATTTTCACAAATTTACAGAGACCACGTGGGCCCCATAGGGAGACATGGCAGGCAGGGCGCTCTGCGACCAAGCGGCCATTGTCCTCATGACGTGGGACTAGTCATCCAAGAAGGAATGTTGGAGGCTAAACCAGCATTAATTCCTGAGGCTCCCTTTGATCAGCTGCCACCTGGAGGTTGCACGTGGGCTTGCTGTTCAGGGGAAGATGCGTCATACACAGGGCTGATGAGGGTAGAATTCCAAATTTTTCAAAATAGTCTACATAACTCCCAACCCTTTTGACGTGATTTTTACCCAGGTGATGGTTGAGAAAAAACCCTTTCTGATGACAATCACATTCAGTGACCAAACTGCCTTGCTAAAGTGTATGGACCAAGAAGAAGCAGAGGAGAGATCTTTGTTGACTTTTTAGAAATCCATTCCACCTCTGAATGATGCCAGCAGTCTGTCTGAGGATAACAAAGGCTATGAAATGTCCGTTGAGCACCTTGGCTACTCGCCTACTGTTAGGCAGTTTTTGCAACAAAAAGAGGACCAATGTCAGCCTGTAAATGGGTCTATAAAGTGGAAAACATGGCAGTTTAGTTTCAGGGGCCACAGTGGCATGGCAGGAGGCGGCCAACCAGACTGGAACAGCAGCACCATAACATGGAAAAGTACAGAAGGGAGACAGCCCTGGCAGACCAAGATGGCCCAAAGGCCCCCTGCTGTCATCCTGCCAGGAGCAAGTGGGGCCACAGGGCCTCCCAAACCACAAGACAGGACAGGACAAATCTGGGCAGAAGTGTCACAGAGATATTGTCTGCATCAGAAACATATAAAGGTACAATAGGAAAAACCTGCGGAAGCTCGACTGGCCTTGATGGTGTCAGGAGAGTTTACTTCATGATCTCCTCCTACTGCAGTAGATTTAAAAGTGATTCCCAACAGTTTCTTTTAAAATCCAATATGCTGCTTTTTTCCCTTCATATGACTAAGATATGAAGGAAAGACAACTCTTGTCCAAGAAGGTGGAGAAAGGCCTTCTGTCAGGCCAGAGGCATCAGTGGGTCTGAGGCCCCTGAAGTTGAGAGGACACATGAGTGGACCTGAGGGTTGCCTGTGGGGTGGCAGCGGGGGTGTAGGGGAGAAGCAGCGAGTAAGGAGCAACAAGGACACAGGAAGGTGGGCAGAGGTGGCCACCACCTGACATCTATGATCTCGCGCAACTTTCCCATCCACCCATCTTACAAGTGAGGAAACCGGAGGTTCAAAGGAGTTAAGTGACCTGCCTACTGGAGGGCAGTGGGTGGAGGGTCTCTTCCCAATGCCTCAGCCCTCTTTCCCTGGGCCACAGGCTCTTCTGGAGGTACTGCTGCTGCTGCTGCTGCTGCTAAGTCGCTTCAGTCGTGTCCAACTCTGTGCGACCCCATAGATGGCAGCCCACCAGGCTCCCCCATCCATGGGATTCTCCAAGCAAGAACACTGGAGTGGGTTGCCATTTCCTTCTCCAATGCATGAAAGTGAAAAGTGAAAGTGAAGTCGCCCAGTTGTGTCCGACTCTTAGCGACCTCACGGACTGCAGCCTACCAGGCTCCTCTGTCCATGGGATTTTCCAGGCAAGAGTACTGGAGTGGGGTGCCATTGCCTTCTTCACTGGAGGCACTGAGGGGTCCTAATTTGTCTGGGACGTGGCAAGTAGGTTTCACCTGCTCACAAACTCGAGTCAGCTGCAGTGAGGGCCTGGAGTGCCAGACTGCCTGGAAGGCTTGGCAGGGAGAATACCAGAATCCAGGAGCAACATCTACCATGCACCAGAAGGCTGGGAATGGATGACGTATTTACCCAATTGCTTCTGCAATAGATTTCTAAGCCCTAACAGACACAAGTCTTTCCCTGTGTGCAGGCATCCTTTCAAGATACTGTGTCTATGGTTCCAGACTATCACAATAAAGCCAGTCACATGAAATTTTTTACTTCCCAGTGCATGTAACAGTTATGTTTACACTATAGTCTATTAAGTGTGCAACTGCACTAGGTCTAAAAAAAAACAATGTGTATACATTAATTTAAATGTACTTAAATGCTAACCCCATTATCTAACAAGGCCACAGTGTCTTCGGAGTACTATAAAAGGAGATCTGCCTGTATAGTCTGTATAGAGGGTAGCCTTTGGCGTGAAGGGATTTCTAGGAAGGGTCAAGGAAAAGCGGGGCTTATTGTCTCTTCGTTCCAAGGAGAGGCCACAGCAAGATCTGGAACTGTTGTGTCGGGTAGCATGGGCCCCCAGCCAGGCCCAGCACCTCTACCTACTCCCAGGCTGGCGACCAGCCTCCTGAGTCACTGAGGCAGGCGGAGGCCCCAGTCTACCTGCCTGACCCCATGGCTTGCCCAGATGCTGCCCCATGTTTAGGACTATGTGTTTAGGAGAAGGGTGAGGAGAAAGGGGGGCTTTGAGAGGAAGGGAGTGCCCACAGGCAGGTGCAGAATTGGGACTAAGCCTGGAGGCAGAGTTCAGCCTGGTGGTGCCCTGTCCCCATTTCTATGCAGGGTCATGGAGGGAGGCCTGGGGATGATTGCAGACATGCAGGGAAGATGAAGATCTAGGATGCCAAAATGAGTCATTAAAAAAGAAAAAAATCAGCATGGTATGACCAGAATTTTTAAAAAGTGAAACTGAGTAAGAAAATATCAGAGCTAAAAAAAAAAAGAGAACATCAGAGCTTACCACAGATGTAAGGCTAAGTGTTGTTTGGCGAAACTTTATAAGCACTCAGTTGTAACATAAGATGTATTTCATTCAAAAAGATCTGAAAGATGTTTTCTTACAGTCTGTTCCTGGATGGGGACATCTCATGTCCTGTGGATACTTTGGCGAGTCTGTATTAACAGTCCCATAAAGAAAGCACATGCTGAATATTTTTTTAAATGGAAAGGCCCCTTTTTATTAAACTTGTACATTTTACCTTCTTCCTTTCAGAATCCTAATTAAAAAAAAAAACATGTTTCTGCTTACTTAAAAAAACACAACAACAAACTCTGAAAACATCACTTTTGTGATGGGAAAGGAGGCAACAGGATTCAACATAAGCAAAGAAAACTACACCTGGAGCAAAGAAAGAAATCGAAGAAGAACCGACTCGGATGGAGGCCAGACCACCTGCACTGTGCACAGCCCTTCACTAAGAGGACTTCTAAAGCAAACCCATCTGTGGGGCCAGGGAGCAGCCCTCTCACCTTGTGGAAGAACAAACAGACCAAAAGCCCTGATGATCTCGCAAATACAAATCAATCACTCTATTTGAAAAAGCACACATGCGTTCAACACTCGTCTCCCCTCCCTTCCCAGATTCTCTTCATCAACAGGGGGTGGAAGGGGGCAGCCCCTTGGCAACGGGGGTTCACAGGACGTAAGAGTTCTTCACCAGCTGCTCTTTGTCATCCGCAGAGCTCCAGACGGTACGGAGGGTGCGCTCCTGGTTCCTCCGCGCCAACCTGATCAGGCAGACCACAGAGGCTCCCAGCAAGAGGATCAGGACCATCACGAACAGCCCCACCAGGACCACCACTGCGGATGAGAGAGAGGCCTCAGAACTGGGAGGGGGGACTCCAGGGGGCCACAGCCAGTGTCCACGTGAGCTCAGGAGGAAGACCAACACCCCTTGGGCTACATGTCCCCCCGCCCCAACCCAGGAAGCCTGACAGGTAGTCAAGTCCTCAAGAGAGTCCCTATAGTCTTGAGAAATAGGTTTCTAAAAATGGAGGTGCTATGCTAGGTGCACACAGACAGAGTGGCTGTTTGTGTTTCTTCTTTTTGAACAACAAAAAAAATCCTCACTTCAACTCTATCTCCCTACCACCTCTCTGGGGCAACTTATACAGGAAAAGCACCCATCTCTGGTGTGGGTGTGTAAACACCCACCAGCCCAGAGAAAGATGTGGCCCTGCAGGTTGCTGGGGTGGTGGCCTGTGGAATGAGGGATGGGCACAGGTCTATTCAGAGCAGTGCCGGGAGGGGACCCTCACACTCCTAATTGCCCAGGCAAATCTGACAGTGGTTACCCCACTGCAGTCCCACTGGTCAGTTAAGATGCTTTTTCTTCAGGCGAGGCTCCCCTTAAGGAATGTGGTCCGGTGGCAGTTGCCCAGCTCCCTCTCCCCACATAGCCACAGAACCAGACAGGGTCAATTCCCTCCCCATCTCCCACCCTCCAGATCCCGATGCCTGGCCAACCAGGTTCCAGCTTCATTCCTCTTTTTCTAAAGGAGGGCAGACACACAGGCCAGGCCTGGGCTCCTGAACAGGACACAGGTGCAAAGAGGCCAAACCAGCATGGCAGGTCTTTTGTGCAAACACTACCATCCATGATTAAGGCTCAGAATCAGAAACAAAAGCAAGAGAAGGCCCAGCCTCCTCGCCAGACCAGACTGCGTGGGGACAACAGTGCTGGTGGGGGCCGTGGCCCACCCACAGCGAGGGCTTTCCATCCTCCTCGGTGTCACACAGGACCAACGATGAATACCCCAGGGCAGCAAAGCTCCCCACCAAACCTGGAGTCAATCTCAGGCCTGTGTGTGGCAGATCCCAGATGCCTAAGCACGAGGTGGTGTCCCCCGATCACCCTCGGGTCTGCTGGGAAGAGATGGCCTCATTCCGAACCTGTTTATGTACATCGCACCATGGGACACACATCTACCGTGTGTTCCAAGCTGCCCAGCCATTCTCGTGCAGAAACGTGACTTTCTAACAAAAGATGTGGACAGTGAAGGACAATGTGTCCAAGACAACATGAGGCCACAAAGACAGAGCCGAGTTAAGTCAAGGAAGGCAGGTGGAGGGGGGGCGAGGGGCCGTTTACCTTTACTGCCGAAGGGCAGGGCAGGATACAACTGCTTGCCTGGAAGAAAACACACAACCTGAGGTCAGCTCCCAGCCCTCCTTCGCTCATAGCGGCAGCCACCAGAGGCTTCCCCTTGGTCCTGGGCCTTCAAGGGGAGCTCTAGCTAAGTGACTTCTTCCAGCCCTTCAGAGGGTTCTGAGGCCTTGTCACCCCCTCCCCACTAGGAAGCCAGAGGAGGGTGAGGGTAAGAGTCCAGAGGATGAGGAAAGGGATGGGGGTCCTCTTGGGAGGGTTCCCCTGCCCGTGGCTGTGTCTTGGATTGAGGCACTACGCAGACTCACCGAAGCATTGCTGCATGCACTCCTCCTTGGAGCGGTAGTTGTTTTTATTGCCCCGGCATCCTCCGTAGATGAAGTTATCACAAGAGTTCTTCTCGGCATTAAAGTACCAGCGTGGGAAGGCTGCGCGGCAAGGCCCAGTGACAGCCTTGGCAATGCAGTGTTCTGGGAGCGAGACAGCCCGGTGGGTACAAATTAGCAGGGCCCAGGAGAGGTGACTGGAGCTGGAATGCTCCCAAGCAGTCATACAGCTGCTGGCCCGTGGGGAAAACCTTTCTCTGCTAAAAGAAACTGGTTAATTGCAGACATGGCTAGTCTGGCCCACATTTTCAGGTACCTTTCTCTTTACATAGTAGCATAACCAGACTACAGTTATGGAGGTTACCCTATGTCAATCACTGTTGTAGGCACTCAACCTGTGTGAGCTCTGAAAGGTCTGAACCAGGCCCCTCATTTCAATCTCAGGGCTCCGAGGCAGAGCTAGTTACCTGCCTACAGCGCAGCTGCTGGCAGGCAGGGCAAACTTCTCCAAGGGCATGCTGTGGGCCCATTCTGCTTCCTACTGCCCCAGGGCATCCTCGTGAGTCCTAACACCCAGGAAAGGTCCGGAAGCCCTGCTCTACAATATCCTCAGTAGAAACCCTCAAGTGTGTCTCAATTCCCAACTAAATAAGAAAACATGTTTTTTAAAAAGTTGTACCTTCATAGCTGAAAATATCATCGGAGAGGTCATCAGAATCCTGCCTTCTGGGAACTGAAACACAAACATCCATGTGACCCCGTCAGGGAGGCTGGAATGGACACAGGACACGTGCCCTAGCTGGGGCTGAGTCAAAAGGGGCCCACTGAGGGAGTGTTGACACTCTGGCACCCAGAAGGAAGGGAGTGGAGGCTCCTCTCTGTGGGCAGCTCTGCTCCATCACCTCTCAGTCCTAATGCACTCTACAGCGCCTCCAGCACCACGGCTGGATGGGGAGGGCTGCTCGGCAGGTCAGAGGTTACTACGGAAACCAATCCCAGCCACAATTTCTGGGTTGACAGAAAGACCAGAGGTATAGGAAGTCACTTATTTTCTTGGGGAAATTTTCTTCTGAAACAGGACAGACACCAGAGTTATGAATCCAGTGCCCCATGGCTCTGGATGACCTCGCAGAGGCCAGTTTGGGAATAAACAATGAACCCAGGCAAAGCGGTGGCCAGGACAGTCACAGGAATCCTAGCCTAGAGAAACTGGAAAGTGCCTCCAACCTTAACTCTTAGCATTCTGCCAACTGGTTGACTGCTAAACCAATAAATGCTTACTCTCATTTACGGTGGGCGCTGAGGCTAGAGTCAAAGGCCCAGAATCAAGACTGCAACCAGTGTGCGGTCACTGGCTGACTGGGGCCATCCTCAAAGCTGGTCGGGGCGGACTCCCTCCCTCCACTGCAGAACTCGCCCAGCAGAACCCACTGCCTGGGGCCTGGCCTTGCTAGTGCGTCTGGACCACTCACCCCAGGCTCCAGAGGCAGAGTCCTTTAAGCATAAAGAAGGAATGGGGCAGCTGTTCTCAGCACTACAAGCAAGCTAACACAAAGAGATCAAGGACTTCAGTGGGAAGGGAGGCGGGGGTGGCAGAGGACAGAGGGTTCAGCACAGGGAGGGAGATGGACCGGCGAGGATGACAGAGAGCAAGGGAGAAGGATGTGGCAAGGAGCAGGGACCGGGCAGTGAAGACAGCAGAGCAGGCAGAGAGTGGGGACTTGGGGCCTGAGCCGCATGCAGCAGTAGCCACACCCCTGTCCCCCAGGAAGCACTGTGGAATCCCTCAGCCCTTCCTGTCTGTAGGACAATGCGAACTCCCCAGCGTGGGAGGCTGCAAGGAGCCAGAAGCTGGCAGACTCAGCTTGCCAATTCTACGTCAACAGAACCAGGAGGAGGAAGCCCTGGTACAACTCCCAAATGACAAATGTCCTTTCACATTACCCATCTGGATGGCCTTCATTCCATCCCGGGTCTTTTTAAAAACCTACCACTTGGGACGGAAGAATCTGCTTTATCCCTGATCTGCTCATCGATGGTGTTCTCTGCAAGGGGACAAACAAACAGCACAGTGAGAAGGGGCACCTCTAAGATTGCTGGTGAAACAAAACAGGCTGCATCCCTGAGCAGGCCTGGTCCTGTGGGCCTCTCACAGAGACTCCCATTTCTCCTTTATGTGGGCCCTCCAGTGTGCATGCTGGACCACAAACCTGCCAGAACCTGGAAAATACGGAACCAAGACTGTCCTTGTGGGTTAAACGTTAAGATCAACTAGCTGGAAATCAGAGCAAAGACGTGTGAAGTGACATTATAAAAAGACAGAATGGCTTCCAGGGCCAAATAACCCGTTGAACTGTATGAACTCACGAAGAGAATTAAAAACTGAAGGGCTTGCTCAGCCCTGGGAGCGCACTTCCTGCCACCAGCCCGTGCGCTTAGAGCTGTTAACATGGTAAATTGTATGCTATGTATATTTTCTCTCTCACACACACACAAAGTTAAGAGGGTGGGTGGAGAGGCCAGCCATTTAAAGAAGTGCAAAAAGGGGAGGGCTGGCAGCGTGCAGGAGGGAGGAGCCCTCCCATGTGCAGAGACGTGGGGCTGGTCTAACCTGATGCCACTGCACTCTTGCATACAAACCAGCTCCCCTGGTTCCACCCCACCCATCATCAAGCAATCTTCTAATCTGGCTGAGCTTTGTCTACACAGACTAAAGCATAGACTAAATCGGAGAGTCTGGTCCCTTCAGTGACTTTGGTTCTCATTATGATTAATTAATTAGTTGTTAATGAACTGTCATTCTCATTATCATTTGGCTCCCCACAGAGTTTGCCTGCCTGAGAAGGAATCTGCTGGCAAGGACTCCATGAGTGACTTGTTGCCGAGTCGTCGCCCTGGCAATTCCAGTTCTCCTTGCAGACTCATGAGAGAACGCCTCAGGAGCTGTGTCGTGCAGCCATGCTCAGGTACCCACAAATGAGTTTTCTGGGACCTCCAGGCTGGGGCCGGACTCTGACCTTTAGGAAGACAGCTGTCTGCCTTCTGCCAGCAAAACACTACACCCCATGGCCCTCAGCAGAGACATTCCATCTTATGCCCTCTGTTCACTGCTTGTGTTCTTAAAACTTAACTTTCCCCCTGAGAAACCAAGGAGTAACCAGAATGGCATGTACATTTGCTACTGTCAACTCTTTTTTGTTGTTGTTGTTAATGTGGACTATTTTCAAAGTCTTTACTGAACGTGTTACAATATTGCTTCTGTTTTCTGTTCTTTCTTTTTTTGGACCAGGAGGCATGTGGGATCTCAGCTCCCCAACCAGGGATCTAACTCGTGCCCCCTGCACTGCAAGGCGAAGTCTTAACCACTGGACCACCAGGGAAGTCCCACACTGTGAACTCTTGATAGGGAAAGGACAGGAAAGGTAGCAAAAAAACATTTCCCCTTAATTCCTTCCCTGACAATGGATCACAGCTTATGACAGAAAATTACATACAATAAATGGTATTTTCCTCACTCACCATTTGGTGAGGTTGCCAGTCACCCAAAAGATGAGGGGCTCACTCACAATCCAAGAATAGTACCAGTCCCCCTGGCTCTCCGAACACATGCTGAGCGCTGAGCACTTGCTGGGCAGGAAAAGGTCAGTAAAACGCCCTTCCAGGCACTGGGTCTCGGCCAGGCTCGTGTGCCTGGGCATTGCTGTAAACCTCAGGCCACAGCCAAGGCCCTGCTGCTGTCCTCTCTTTATGCACGTAACTTTAATCCACTTATGTGATTGCTGAATGTAGAGCTCAATGCCAACAGAGAGCACAGCTGGTGCAGGAGGCGGCACAGACGCCTGGTCCAGGCCCCAGGCTGGTGGGGCCGAGAGTGCTGAGGGCGCCACAAGCACTTTCTGCCCAGAATCATAATCCAGGTGCTCCCAGCGATGTCAAGCTGTCAGGAAAGGATGTAAGAAGTCCCATGACAATGTTAAGGAAGCAGCCAGTGAAAATCTTTGACTGTCTGGCTGGCTGAATCCTCGGGTCTCTGGAACACTTGGGAGGGATTGGGTCCCAGAGGGCCAACATCTCACTGCCATCAGGTCTCAAGGAGTCCCCCGAGGCTCCGTTCAGAGCTGGCACATATTGTGGTGGGGCTTAGGTTTTTATTTAAACTGGGAGGCTCACAGGGTCAACAGGACTGCACGGAAGTCCTCACTGAAGGCTGGGACAAGGACGGATTCCAGAAGTGTGTTCTAGTTTTAACTTGATTCATTACTCAGCTGGCTGGCTGAGCTCAAGTCATTTGTCCCAAAGGTAAAAAATAACCTAAAGGCCCAGGGAGCAAGGGGGCCGCCTGTCTGAGCAGACCTGGCGTGGGATGTGTGCTTTCTGGTGGGAGGAAGGAACCTGGGGGGAAGAAGCAGTCGTGTTCCCCCCTCCCCTGGCTCTAGTTTGCAGCCTACTCTTCCCTTTCTGGGAAGGGGGGGAAGGGTACTGCCGTGAAACCACCGTGTGTGGGTGACCTTCACATTGGGCCTGTTTCTTCTGCTTTTAAAAATATCTCCCAGTTTCAGCCATGAAGAACTAGCGAAGAGCAAAAGACTTCTACGACCCTTTATAAACTGTCTCTAGATAACACCAAGTTAAAAGACGCTTGCTCCTTGGAAGGGAAGCTATGACAAACCTAGACAGCATATTACAAAGCAAAGACAGGGACTTCCCTGGTGGTTAGTGACTAGGACTCAGCGCTCCCAGTGCAGGGGGTCTGGGTTTGATTCCTGGTCAGGGAACTAGATCCCACATGCCGCAACTAACACCTGATGCAGCCAAATGAATAAATAAATATTAAAAAAAAAAAAAGCAGAGACGTCACTTTGTTGACAAAGGTCCGTATAGTCAAAGCCGTGGTTTTTCCAGTAGTCACATATGGATGTGAGAGTTGGTCCATAAAGAAGGCTGAATGCCAAAGAATTGATGCTTTTGAACTGTGGTGCTAAAGAACACTTTTGAGAGTCCCTTCAACAGCAAGAACAAACCAGTCAATCTTAAAGGAAATCAACCCTCAGTATTCATTAGAAAGACTGATGTTGAAGCTCCAATACTTTGGCCACCTGATGCAAAGAGCCGACTCATTGGAAAAGATCCTGACGTTGGGAAAGACTGAAGGCAAAAGAAGAGAGGGCAGAGGATGAGACAGTTAGATAGCATCACCAACTCAGTGGACATGAATTTAAGCCAACTCCAGGAGATAGTGGAGGACAGAGGAATCTGGCGTGCTGCAGTCCATGGGGTCTCAAAGAGTCAAGACACAGCTTAATGATTGAAAAACAACAACAGATAATAAAACCTCCCCAACAGCACTGTCTTACCTGTGACACCAGCACACTTAGCAAGACACTCCTCCTTGGTCATGTAATTATTGTCATTCCTGTCACAGCCTCCATACACAAACTGCTGGCAGGATCCATCAGTGACATTGTACCACCACCGAGGGAAGGAGGCCCGGCATCTTCCCACTTTCTTGGGAAGGTGGCAAAAATCTAAAACACAACCAGAGACCAGTTAGCTTAGCAGGGCAATTCAGGCAAGCGAGAAAATGCACAGCCCTCGAGGAAGAGGCCCACAGCTTTCCAGAGTCTTAAGTTCCAGCAGCTCCTCTATGAGCCGTTTCTAAAGTGTCGCCATCAGACCTGCTTAGGGATTCCTTCTTTGTGTAGGAAAGAAAGGCATCATCTGACAACAAAGATACCAACTACCCGACTGCACTGAATGTCAGCTGTGTGCTGATACTGTCCCTGCCCCGTTATCAAACACACACACACCCCGTACAGAAGCTGGACTTCAGAGGCAGAACACCAGACTGCAGGATCCTTCTGGATATGTGCCCATCTCACCAGGCCAAGGGGAGCTTAGCACTCAAAGGCTAGAGCTGGCGATGTGCGGTCAGGAAGGACGCGCACAGCACAGTGCACTTAGCACTAACTCTTCCTGTCTACTCTCTGCCAAGACTGGCCACTTCATAACTGAGTTACCACCAGAGCCTCAGAAAGAAGTTCCCGAATGTTAGTTGCCCCCACTGCCGACCCTTCAAAGGCAATTCAGGTCGCTCCTTTCTTCCAGCGTCTATCTTGATGGTCCAGGGTTACAAGGTGCTCCCAAACCTGGCCCCGCTTTGGTACAAGGGAAACAGAACAAAGTTATAAAATTCCAGCCAGATACATTTGTCTACAGAAAGCCTATAGATCTGCTCTCTCTCTTTTTAAATATTAATTATTTCTGGCTGAGTTGGGTCTTTGTTGCTGCACACAGGTTTTCTCTAGTTGTGGCAAGTAGGGGTTACCCTCTAGTTGCAACGCTTGGGCATCTCATGTCTGGGCTCACAGGCCCTAGAACACGGGCTCAGTAGTTGCAGTCCATGGACTTAGCTGTCCCCACAACATACGGGATCCTCCTAGAGCAGGGATCAAAGCCATGTCCCCAGCGTTGACAGGTAGATTCTTAGCCACTGGACCGCCAGGGAAGTCCCTCTGCTCTCTCTCTTGAAAAGGGAGAGATAAACAAGTGCTGGAGACAACACCTTTACTAGAATGGCCCTTTCTTCTGGAGGAATTAGGAGGATTGAAAGCAACTTGAAAAGGGAGTCACCTGACCACGTGGTTCAATGTATGCTCTGCACCACCATATCAACCCTTTCTGGGATCACGAGCCAACATCACCTCTCCCTCCACCCTGGTCTCCTACACCTCTGAAGTGAAGTCGTGTCCAACTCTTTGCAACCCCATGCACTGTAGCCTACCATGTTCCTCCGTCCATGGGATCTTCCAGGCAAGAGTACTGGAGTGGGTTGCCATTTCCTTCTCCAGAGGATCTTCTCGACCCAGGAATCAAACCCAGGTCTTCCACATTGTAGGCAGACGCTTTACCATCTAAGCCATCAGGGAAGTCCAAAGCCACCCGGGAAGTCCTACATCTCTGCCTTCCTGCATAAGGGAACTGCAACCTGCCTCAGGCCCAGCACCGGGTGCTTCATAAACAGCTCAAATAAAACCATCCCAGGGCCCAAAACTTGAGTTGTATGTTGCCAATGACTCCTCCCTAGTTGTTCTCAGCCTGGCTAGGTTTATCTCACTGAGGGGATGCCTTTCAAAGCACAGAGAGCAGGATTTGTGCTTCTGCTGCATCTCCTAAAATACATCACAACAATGGACAGGAAACCAAACATTCCACAAAACATCTAACTATGGACAAAAAACGTTGGTACTATGCAAAACAAACAAACATCCCCAAGGAACGCCAATAAATCACAGGTAACTAGCAGAGCAGAAAAAGCATACTCTGAAGTAAAAAAATCTTTTGTTAATGTGCAAGTAACCATCACTGAAATCATCAGCTAAAAAGTATCTTATCTGGACACTTCATATGAATGGAATCATACGGTATGTCCAAAAAAGGCAAATCAAGAGAGACAGGAAGTAAGATTAGTGTTTGCCTGGTGCTGGCGGGGGTGGGTTGGGATGGTGGAGAGTGACTGCAAATGGGGATGGAAATGTTCTAAAATTGGATTGTGGGGATGGTTGTACAACTCTGTTAATGTACCAGAGGCCATTGGGTTTATGCCTATAACAACTGATTTTATGGTATGTAAATAATAAATCAGTTTTGTTTGTTGCTGTTGTTGTTTTAAATAGGCCCACACACCTTTTGTCCATATAACTGCATCAACCAGAACCAGCTGGGTGTGTACCCGGAACAGGTACTTTTGACAATGTGCCAAAAGTCACGAAACAAACACAATCAACAAGGCCCAGGGAAGACGCAGCAGAAGAGTTCTCTGGTGCGTGTTTCTGCCCCACCCACCAGGCTGTCAAAGGCCAGAAGCAGCACTGCTATCAAGACAAGCTGGAGAGGACCCAGACAGGATCCCCATGACCGCAAACTGAAAACATTAGGGCAGAGGCCCCCAACTGCTGCCAAGGCTTGGCAACTGCCTATCCAATGCCCTGCCAAGCTGAGAGCCTTAGGGATCACTGACTGCTTGATGTCCTTGCTTCCCGAGCAGCTGTTAGGGAAATGAAAATGGAGGTAATCTTGTTCAGGCTTCAGAAGCAGGAGAGCAAGCCTCTGACTGACTTTGGACCCTGCCTGGACAACCCACCTGCTTGCAAAAACACCAACTGTTACCAGCAAGTCAAGAGGCACTTTAGATGAGAGAGGGAGTGGGTCTCAGCCAGCCCCGCTGGGGTCCAGAAAATCTTGTGACTCACAAGGTGAAACAAAAAGCACTGTAAAACTTAAAACCAGAGTTACAATTTTGCAGGCAAGCTGATCAGGATATCAGTTTGCGGCCTGGGATTACAAGTGGGAGCCCCCCAAAACTGCAATCTGCAGTCTCATCAACAAAGTGGATGCACTGTCTCCAGGCTGCTGTTAACAAGCAACTTCCCAGTGCTGTTTAAGTCTGAATGCTGGTGGGCCCAATTTGGTGATGTACATACATACTGTTAGTCGTCTCTATTGTTTCTATTTCTCTTTTCTTTTAATGACTGTATAGTAAAATTAAGTTAAATAACCCCCTATTAAATACTGAAATTGTTTATTGTGTGACAAATAAGTTTCTTTTGTTAACAAACCCTTCAAATCTAAAACAAAAGGAAAACTTCCAACAGCTTCGGGTATGGTCTTTTAAACAAAAACACCTGAAAAAGGAATTGTGTGCTTTAAATGGGTTGACTGTGCGGAATGTGAATTAATGTCTCAGTTGAAACAAACACCTGAGAGGGACCGAACAGGAGCTCAAGGCAGGGTTGCCATGAACTGTCAGATGCCACAGCAGAGAACGCAGCAGGGCGACCACAGTATAGAGTGGGAATTGGGTGGCTTATCATAAGCAAGGATGCCAGATACTTCTGCCAGATGTTCTGTGCAGGTACAGAAGCCTGAGGGTGCATAAAGAGGAGGGAGAAAGCTTATCCAGAGATGGACGGCAGTTACCCTGGTGAAATAAACACTGCCTGTAATCGGCCTCTTTGCCGGCTCAGACAGGCACTCCTAGCGCCCCAGGGCTGAAGAAGCGCAGGGACGCTGCTCTCGCTAACAAAGCACACTGAGGATCCTGAGAAAATAACTGTCCAGCAGGGCGGATATGTGCCAACATACCTCCTCGGAAAGCCAGCTGACATGGAGCAGGTCACCTGGCATCTGAGTAAGGCAGTTTTCTGGAGGATTCCTGTGAAGATCCACTCTACTGGGATCTACCAGGCAGACTATAGGCTCTCAGGAGACGGCTCAGGACACGTTTTGGTCAAGAGAGTGTGGTCAAGGTCTGCATCTGAACACTTACTTTTCTGACTGCCACCACGAACTGATGCCTCTTCCTGACTGGAATGCTCTTTCTGTAGATGTGATGGTTCCTTCGTTACGAACTTTGTGGGACTGAGAGGCCATTCTGTCTCAGCTGCTCACATCTGCTGTCAATGATCACACACTGACCTCACGGTTTTGCAAGTTTTGGAAGCAGCCTTATTTTCAGGTTCCTTGGGTGGGGGTAGGAGGGGATGGGGGTGGCTTCATTTTTGTCCCAGGGAATTTAGAAATGTCTGTTTATTAAGAGAAACTCAGTGGGTAGAGAATTTGCCTGTAGTGCAGGAGACCTGGATTCAATCCCTGGGGCCGGAAGATCTCCTAGAGAAGGAAATGACTACCCACTCCAGTACTCTTGCCTGGAAAACTCCATGGATAGAGAAGCCTGGTGGGCTGCAGTCCATGGGGTCACAAAGAGTCAGGCATGACTGACCGACTAACACACACACCTCCTGCACTAAAAACGCAGTATATATGGAAAGACATCATGTTGACAATTGTTGAAGCTGAGTGATGGTCTATGGGAGCTCATAAACCTGCTTCCACTACTTCGCGTACACTTGAAAATTCCTGTAATAAAAACAGAAAGAAGCTAATCTCTTTTTAAAATAAATTGGACTAGAGTAAAAGAGCTCAAAGTAGCAGATTAGTTGGCCAAACCTAGGTTCAACCAAGATGAAATTTAACCACACAAATACTGTGTCAAGACAGAGTACCTTCTGTGAGGAGGGAGGCTCCTTGTCAAATGGAGAAGAGTCCATTTCGTTGCATGCCTTTCCTAACTAAATTGCTTTTCAGCTTCTAGGATACACATTTTTACTCTCTAGGCTTAAGGAAATGATCTTATGAATAAAGGAGGTTGTTTTTGTTTGGTTGGTTGGTTTTGTTTCAAAGGAGAGAATGTTCCTTTAGGAAACACAGGCCACATGTTCTTCACCTCACTCCAAATCACATCGATGCATTCTCCCTTCTGTTGCTCTCCAAAAAGCTTGTACAAAGAGCCAGAAATACTTTAGTGTGTAAGATGACTTCCATGACTTATCACCTTCCTTAGAAAAAACTCCCAAAAAGTCAGACTACTATCTTTGGTAGACTCAGCTTAAAATCAAAATGCAGAGCATGGATTATTTCTTGACACCCCATTTCACTGCCTTCACTAAGCTAGATGCTGGGCACATTA